GACCAGGATGGACAGGATTAGGAATGAGCACATCAGAGGGACAGCTCAGGTCGGCTGTTTTGGGGACAAGGTCAGAGAGTCCAGATTGAGATGGTTTGGACATGTGCAGAGGAGGGATAGTGGTTATATTGGTAGAAGGATGTTGGAGATGGAGCTGCCAGGCAAGAGGTCAAGAGGAAGGCCAAAAAGGAGATATATGGATGTGCTAAAAGAGGACATGAAGTTAATTGGGGTAAGAGTAGAGGATGCCGAGGATAGAGTTAGGTGGAAACAGATGATTCGCTGTGGTGACCCCTAACGGGAACAGCTGAAAGAAGAAGAACTGCTAAAATGATTTTTAGAAAGTTATATCAGAAAATATTTTAAATAAAATATCTAGCTGTTTACTTTTTACATAATACAAACTGCCATTTGAATTTCCTATCCCTAATAACATCTTGTGCCAACTAAATACTGTGCAAAGCAAATATGGTTTTAAGTGGCAAGTGTCACAGCTTTTATTGGTTAGTTCAGACAAAATGTAACACTTCAAAGAGCCAGAGTGTGCTGGTTTATAAAACTGTCTAAGTAGGAATAACATCTCAGGGTATAAGGGGGTAGCTGCCTATAACTGCAGGTTGTTGTTATTTGGGAGGTTTTGGGGTCTTATCCTGAATTAATAACGTGAGAGGGAGGTCTGCAGGGAACTTTGTTCGCAGGTTCATGGTAGTCAATGACTGAGTGAATATCTCTGCCAAAAAACCTCAAGCAGAGTTTGGAGCTTTAATACGTTTCAAGTATGCCACCTTAGTGTGAGAGGTTAAGCTTTAGCATCCAGGGGTTAGCATATTGTGGCCTTCATACACATGCAACCTGTAACTGGCACCTTACTTATGTAAATGCATAATCAATATTGCAGTCTCTCGGTTATCATTATATGGCCATGAAGCCGAGTTAGTATCACTGTTGCACTGTAGGTGAACTGCTGACTCATCACTGTGGCCTTTTTAGGAACATGATCTTACACACAGGTACCTTTAGTTTGGTTGATTGATAAATAACAATACATTATGTATTTGCACTTTACCCCCACTTTACTTTGAGCTTCAGGTGAAGTTTTTGCACAGAGTGTATTTTGGCCCCAACGACTAAGAGCTATTCTAAAGAAGATAGGGGCACATTAATATTGTTTTAAAACCAATTTGACAAATCCCAAACTGTTCCTTTAATTAACCTACACTATCATGAGTAGAGAGCAGGGGTGCCTGATCACAGTTGAGCTACAGAGATTAATCCATTAGATAAACAGGAGATCGGCAGAAAATGAATCAGCAACTAGTTTGATAATCATTGAACAGTTTTATCAGTTTTCAAACAAAATTGCCAAACATTCTCTGGTTTCTGCTTCCTAGATGTGGGGACTTGCTACATGACAGTAGTAATGGGCAGATGAAGCTTTGAGGCAGTAGTGACTGATTTTAACAGGCTAGTCTCTTGCAATAAAAACCCCAGCAGCCTGTGTGTTATTAAATCCATAATATTTTTGTTCAACAGTGCAGCGTTAATGCTAATGCACATGAAATGACAGTAAACTATATATTGGCAGCTTCTGAAGCACTAGTGAGGTTTAAAGCTTCAGATGCCATCAGTCATATGGGTTTCCTCATTTGATACAAGCATCGACTCAGCATATCGAAACGTTGCGCCTCAGTGGAGCGAGGCAAGCTTCATTATCATCTGCCCATCTCTACATGACAGTGTCATGAATGTCTTTGGTTTTTGGATTTCGGGAGGAGCGGTGCAATAATGACACGAAAACAAGCACAGTCAAGCCCCGGAATGGACGGTCACCCCAGTACTCCGCCGGTACCTATGGAGCCAAAATGGCCGCTGTGCAGCTCAGTAGTGTTTGTTTGGCTGGCTCATGCTGCATTCAGGGAATATCAGAGGAATGGTAAAAACAATAAAATACCCGTTACCCTGTTGGCCATCAAATAAATATACTAAATTTGTTATGTATTTGTAGCAGTTTAAGAGGTAGATACAAACAAATAGTGCTTAGCCCCTGTAAATGTACGTGAATGGTTTGTATTAAAGGGCAATAGGCTATTTAATTTAGTTCAGTTTAACTACCAGCGGTGGTGCGTTTGCAGCCTTCCTTTCATTAGATAGACTTGTCTGTACTATTTATTGGAACAGTAATAAAGAGCATTTACTCAAACACTGTACTTAAGTATAATTCTGAGGTATCTGCACTGCACTATGCCTTTTTTGGTTTGCTACTTCATACTAACTGCACATTTTAGAGGCAAATAATTTACTTTTTAGTAAACTATCTTTAGTTACTAGTTAACATTTTAAATGCAGACATTTTACTTTTAACATAGTGTTTTTACTCTCTGGTTCATCCATCACTGGGTGTCATAGCTATAAAACGGAAAGCAGAGAATAAGAGCAATTGTTTTCGTTTGGCCCGGTCTGCATCCGCTGAGAATTTACCAGAAAGGATCATGACTGATATGCACGTCTTTAGCTTAATGCAGATTGTTTTTGTGTGTTCTTGGCTCAACAAGAATTTTAATTTGTATTCAAGTTATGTCTTAAAACATCACGATTGCAAATATCAGCCCCCTGCTGCTCTTGGCATCAGGTACCCCAAAGCAAGTTCAACTTGCAGTGTAGTCTTTTGTCAACTTGTTCCATATACTCATAACTACTTTGTGTCTCAGGTATGTGACACACCTGATGAAGCGTATCCAGCGTGGTCCAGTTAGAGGAATCTCCATCAAGTTGCAGGAGGAGGAGCGAGAGAGGAGGGACAACTATGTGCCAGAGGTCATTTCACCCTCTTTGCTATGTTTCATGAGATGACAAAGTTGTGGCTTTGCTTTGGAAACTCACATATACAGTATGTCTCATAGTTTTTATTGATGGAAGTAGGAATACTTCAAAGTAGGCTGCACAGCCTTTTTTAACTAGCCTGCTGTCTATCAATTGTTACTTTCTGAAAGGTTGGACATGGTTATGCATCTGATTTGTTTTTTCTCTTGTCCTCTAGATTTCTGCTCTGGACCAGGAGCTCATCGAGGTGGATCCAGACACAAAGGAAATGCTCAAGATGCTTGTAAGAGTAAAACTTATCACTACTTTTCATATTTAAAGACAATTGTTGTGCAAAGTCTTTACATAGAGTTGGCTATTATGACATTGTCAAAGAACTGTGAGGTGTAACGTACCACACATTAATGATGGCTGTTTAATTTATGTCTGTGAGCCAGTATAGGGGACAGAACACACTGGAGAGGGAAAACAATTCATCTCACTCCATTGACTGAGTAGGGATGGGACTATATATAGCGATATAAAAACATCACAATGCATCTTAGTCTAGTGATATACACCACTCAGGCATAACATTATGGCCACCTGTATATCTGTATGCACTTCAATGCAACACTTCCATCTTAACATTTATGTTTATGAAGCTCAAAATGTTTCAGTTTTTGGTGATAGTCAAATGTATAAATTATTCATTATTGAGGTCCTAGTTAAAGGTGGTGTTGTACTGGACTACATTATATTCAGAGGTGTTTGTAGGGGTTCATGCACAGACGGTACTTATGTACTGTGCATAATATACCCACTCTGATGGTACTCTATTACATAGTATGTATTAACTTGAATCACTACAAATACCTCTGAATATAATGTAGTACAGTACACCACCACCTTTAACTCTGACCTCAATGATGAACATATAATTGAATTTATACATTTGACAATCTCACCAAAAACAAACATTTTGAGCTTCATAAACATAAATGTTAAAGTATACATGTTGCACTGAAGTGCATACAGCTGTACAGGTAGTCAATGTTATGCCTGAGCTGTGTATATCGTGCATTTTCCATACACGAGCAACTTCATATTTTTGGTGAATGAGACAGCCCGACAGAACGCAAGTCAGTATGTCCTTTACATAATCAAACCAGTGCTAGAAATGGGGAATAAAGTGCAAGCCATTCCTACATTGTTGTCATTGAATTTTTATCGTGATTGAATTGTACAAACCATATCATGCATCAAGTCAAATCAAGGAAGAAAAAAAAAAAAGCATTGTCCCATCTCTAGTATTAGTGCCTCTGAAAATTTGGTCTTTTTACAAAAAACTGAAAACTGCCTTAAAGCTACGGTGCGGTAAGACGCATTACCACCAAGGCAAAGAAGCCTGACTTTTAAAGGCTGCTGAACACACCCCCACCGAAGCTTTGACATAAGTGAGGCAGTCAAGTCAAATTTCCAAATGTCAGTTTAAGTTGCCATATCTGAGTTAAGCTAGACCATTTTGGCAGTATGCAAGTTGTTATAAGCCAGAAAGCTATGCAGTAATGTTTGAATGTGCCTTAGCTAACTACAATAGCTATAACACACAGCTAGTCAACGCTCCATTAACTACCACAACACTATCCCAACCACCAAATACCCTAAGGGGAACGTTGCTACAGCCTACCAGAGAAACATCAGCTCTGATCATGATTCAAGCAGTGCACACAATAATCCTCGTGTGATGCAGGAAAAACTATTCCACAGCAGTTGGACCAAATCTCTGTCTGCCTCAAAAGGACAAAATACAACCCAATCCAAACACATTAGCCACCTTGTCTCCCACAGACCAAATTACAAAATACGCACAAAGAACAAAAAGGGAGACAATGGAAAAGCACGTGACCAAATAGTCTAATTGAAAGCCACACAGCATTTAACGTATTAATCAGTACCAAACCTGGACAATGCTGCTCAAATAAGTATTATCCAGGACAAGCCTACATATTGTCATGACCCAGCACTTAGACCATGACAGAAGCAAGAGGCAAAGATTGCCAGTCAACTATTAGACAAGAGGCTGTTTAAACAGCAAGTTGTTAGCTATATGAGTAGTGTGGTATGGTGAAGGGTGCCAACAATCGGACAAATAAAACTAATGCTTGTTCTACCACGAGTCAAATTTACAGGAATGGGAGAGAAGTGAGGTCACTGACCGTGACTTTTTACCAACACAGTCGAATAAGGTAATCCTCAAGTTCAACTGGACAGTTGTGCCAAATTTGAAGAAATCCCCTCAAGGCATTCCTCACATATCACATTCACAAGAACGGGCCATACAGACGGACAACCTCAAAACGCAACACCTCTAGCCGTTACCATGGCTGGCATAGAGGCATAACAATGAAGCAGTGGCAGGCAAAGGCTGCAAAGCAGAGCACCCCCAAATGCCAGGAGTTAGAACTTTTAACTGCCTCACAATCTGCCTGGACCACACAGTTAATAGACCTGAAAAGATTGCCAGCAAACAAACGAGGATATTTAAACAGCAAGTTGTTAGTCAGCTATACGAGCAGTGTGGTATATTGTCGCAGTGTTCCAACAGAATCTGACCTGACAAAAGTACCACTTGTTCACTCATGAGTCAGATTTACAGGAATGGGACAAATGAGGTCACTGACCATGACCTTTGATCACCACAATCAAATCAGTTCATCCTCGAGTGCAACAGGACAGTTCTGCCAAATTTGAAGAAATTCCCTCAAGGCATTTACAAGACTGGGCTGCACAGACAGACAACCAAAAAAAACAGTCCTTCTAGACCTGGCTATCGCTGGCACAGAGGCTGAACAATGATGCAGCATCAGGTGAAAGCTGCAAAGCAGAGCACCCCAAAACGCCAAGCGGTTGAGCTTTTAACTGCTAAGGCAGCAGACCTAGGTGCTCAATCTATAAACCTGAAACGGAAGCTCAGACACCAACACTGGAAACACAGGCATATACACTAAACAATGCAATGAGCAGGGGCCCATGCCAACAGGGCTGACGTTGACTTTTTCCCACCACAGTCGAATCAGGTAATCCTAAAGTTCAACTGGACAGTTGAGCCAAAGTTGAAGAAATTCCCTTAAGGTGTTCCTGAGACATCACATTCACATGAATGAGATAAACAAGGTAACCTTAAAGGCAGTGGACCCAGGTGCTCACAATCTGCCTGGACCACAATCAAGAGACCTGAATGGGAAGCTCATGAACCTACACTAGAGAAAACACACACACACTAGACAGACGCACTGAGCAAGGACCATCACTTCTGCCAATTAGGTTTCAATTAATTGTCTATAAAACAAAAACTACAAATTTCCAATGCCTCAAGGTGCTGTTATCTGTTTTGTTTAGTCTGACCAACTTAAAACAAGTTTTGATAAGATGAAATGCTGACAAGTCTCACACTTAAGCTGGAACTATTCATTGTGGAGCTGAAATGATTGACAGAACACAGTTTAAAAAAATTTCAGTGTTCAGTCTTTCAAAAAATTGGGGAATCAGATTTGGGTCACTGTAACAGGTAATGTGAACATAGCCCAACAGTCCTCCATTTACTTGAATCTTTTTTTTCCCCTCTTGTAGGATCTCGGTGGCCTTTCAAACCTTCAAGTCACTCAGCCAACTATTGGAATGAACTTCAAAACACCACGAGGATTGTAGAATCATGTGAAATAAAGAGAAAATGCATAAGAATGGTCCTTTTTGTTAACCAGGAAGTGATGTTTACTTTCTCCCTACACAAAGTGGAGTGGGGGGGGGCGGGGGGG